CTTAGCTCGACAGAATTAAGCGTCCCTTAAAACTAAATCTAATGCGCATTTTTCTGTAGTAAATAAATCATATAAGAGTACTTTGTAAAAAATGAAGATGGTCTACAATCTAAGGCCTCAAAATGTTGCTTCCTTTATTCACTATATTAGACATGTATTTTGCAATACAATGTTAATAGGGGAGAAGACAAGACAAGACCCACTTTCAAAATTAACGAAAATCTGTTTTTTTTGTACATTTTTAGCCCTTTGCGTTACTTAAAAATTCTAAAAAAGCTATTCCATATTATTATAACCGAATCATAATTAATTTATTGAAAGTGTTATTTTTTGGATAATTCTATGGATTTAGCTTAAAGTCAGAGCTTTCGAAAATCTTAAAAATAGTTACTAATCAGTAACGTTTTTTTAATTAAATACCTTTTAATAAAAATAAAAAAGCTTGGCCAAAATTTGGGTAAATTTAGTTAAAGTTAGTAAAATAAATTGACTTGATGGTTAGAAGCCACAAAAAATTATAAAAAACTTTTCCTGTTAGTGTAGTTCTTTCTGATTGCTGATACTGTGCTGATAGTGTCTATGGGTGTTTAGCATATTTATAATAGAAATTTTATTATCTCTAAGTAATAAATATTGTTATATTGTAATTTGAATTAAATTGCGCTTTGTTTCAGGTATTGTGTTGGGTTTTAGTCACGACGCTGGTGAAAACTGCACCGTTAATTGTTAAGGTAACATAAATTGTTGAAAAATGGAAAACATAACAGAAATTTGCTGATTTTTTGTATAATTTATTTTAGTAACAAACGCTAGTTGTCACGTTTCGAGACCTCCGGTTTTTGTAGCTTAAACACGAACTGTTACTTTAGCATTGAATTGAATGAACGCGATACTCCACAATCAATGATAAAATTTACTTGGTTCTACGTCTTAACATTGCATTTTTCAAATTACCACGTAAAAAGATTAGATTCATAATAAAAGTTTTGCTTTTTACAAAACTTCTGGATTCCTTCTGCGTCGGTTTTTGCTTAGTCCAAATTGCTGACGTTTTGCCAATCATCCTGTTGGCTTCTTCAGAGCTCAACTTGACAGTCAAGCTCTGAAGAAGCCAACAGGATGATTGGCGAAACATCGCTATTTCGACTAAGCAAAAACCGACGCAGGAGGAATCCAGAAGTTTTGTAAAAAGTATTACAGTAGCCTGTGGAAGTTTCTTTGAAAAATTAATAAAAGCTTACTATTGTACCATGAAAGATCTTGTGGCTCTTTACTTTTTACACCTTTAAAAAGAAGAAAACAAGTTTTTAGATAAAAATAAATCGTTCAAATCGCCCTGAAGAATCCAAAAAGACGCAAAAAGGGCACAATCACAAACACCTCGTACATATTAGCAAATTATAAAAGTTTGGCGTTAATACAACAATTGCAGTTGAGAGCGTAGTGCGCAAACATTCCCGCCGTTTTAAATATCTGGAATGCAAAAATGGCCGTCATTAAAACTTGCGCGTTAAAAAGCGCAACCGAAAGTTGCGAGATAAAGCCGTTTTTTATCACTAAATTGGCCATTTTTTCTCGCTAAAGGGCGCCAAAAATGGGGTGATAAGCTTGCTTAGACGTCCATCTGTTTCGAATGGCGTAACCCTCGCAATCCGAACAAAAATGTCACGGCAAACGGCGAAACGGCTCAGTGTTTCTGCTCTTCTTTTTATGGTCAAAAATCTCCTCTTAGATCTCTGATGAAATTAAATGCCGAGTTTTAATGTTCATTGGGTGGAAAAAGTAAAAAGTCTGTATCGTCTCCCTCAGCTCTCGGGACTTGCGGCTCCGCTCGTTTACGCCAGTGGCGTCTCGAGGTGTTGGTTAAATTGATACTTATTAATTATTTTACGGTTATAGAGTTATAGAGTTTAGAGCTCTATTAGAACAAGAAAAATAAGGTAAATTATAGAATAACGCGATTAAGATTTACCAGTGAAGAAAAAAATTATATCGACGACCATAAAGTCAGCGGCTGTTTTTCCGTTTTTTTTTTGAGGAAAACAGACGCGTAGATTGCTATTTAGCTTAGCTTATAGTGCAAAGCATCAATCGATAAAAATATGTATATTAATCGTTAAACTTCTGAATTTTGATTGGATTGACACGTGCCAAACATGCAAATATTTTTGTTTTAGTATTAGTATAACACGGAATCAAATCTACCGATGTCAGCTTAAAACTCCTCTTCCTGGGTCGAATACATTGTAACTTCCGCTTCTTGCACCATCTTGGAAAGTAATTTATTTATAATTTTAAACTTTCTTTGTTATTAAGAAACTATTGTCGGATATCCAATATTATCTATCTGAAACTTTTATAAACTTCTCTGCATTATGCAAATCTGCTGATATCGGCTTAAAATTTCTCTTCCTTGGTCAAAAGCATTGTAACTTCCTCTTCGTGTACCATATTGGAAAGTATTTTATTTTAATTTTAAACTCTGATTGTTATTAAGAAAAATTGTCCACGATTAAAAACTATTGTCAGATATCCAATATTATCCATCTGACAGTTTTAGGGATCATGTTTAAAACTGAATTATAATGCCAAAAATTATATTTTCATGTTGAATGCCTAATATTGTCATGGATACTTGGCAATAGTTCTCACGTTAACAAAAAATTGCATAAAATTCAAATTTTTCGTCAAACTAGAATACGGGGCAACAAATTTTACATCTAAAAAAAATAGATAGTGCGACTTAATTGGACCTACTGTCTAATTTAGGCAACTATTTATTTTATTTATTATATTATTTTTCTTTTTCTTTTTTTTTCTGTTCTGTTTTACAAATACTTAAGAACAGAGAAATACGTGCGTACGTACGTAAATGTAATAAAGCGCGGGATTTTTGAAAAATAAATATACAAGAGCAAAGACGGTTCGTTTCGGTGCGCCTAGGGATTTTTCTCCGCTTAACTCTCAGCTTGACACCGGGCGTCCGTTGAAAAAGGGAATTTAATTAAGTAAAATTACACTGCTTGTACTTTAATTATGTTAGTATCAGAGTTTTTACTGCAAATCGTCGAGAGGGTGCGCATTCACACCATCGGGTGGCCCTCCGGAGGGGGCGAGGGGACTTGTTCTCCCGTTCGTCTCAGTGATCAAACGTTATCTGTCAAAGGGCCAAACGTTCGCTGGCTGGCATCTTTGTCACGTGACGTAAAAAAAAGGAAAATAGACGGGCACCCCGAACTTTGTAAAATAGTTGAAGCTACATCGGCAATGTCGAAAAATTACATAAACGGTAATTAATTTGCTTCGTTAATTATAATTAATTTAATTAAAAATGGTTCGTGGGTGTGGCCTGAGAAAAATAGATGTGATAAAAAGTGACTTCGGTAATGTCGAAAAATTACATAACCGACATAAATTACATAAAATTATATATTCATTAATAATTAATATATTCTATTAATTACTATTAGCTTTCGCATTTCGCATCGACTTATGAATTGACTTGATATTGAAAAGATTTTGGTATTGGTTAGTGTTGGCTGGCCAGTTTTGGTTAGTTTAGTTAGTTGAAATATTGATTTAGAATTAAACGATTTATTAAAATATTTTCGTTTGCTACCTCAGCCAATATGTCAACGAAATAAGCAATCAAAACTAACCAAAACTAACTAGAACTCTAATCAAAACTAACAAAAATTAACCGAAATAGAAGTCTTAATTGTCAGCAGTAGAATTTTCGCCAATCAAAAATTCAAAAGAGTTCACAAGCTTGAAGATCCTAAAACTTCGGACTTGTGAATTGACTTGATTTTGAGAAGATTTTGGTATTGCTTAGTGTTGGTCTGTTTTGGTTAGTTGATTTAGAATTAAAGGATTTCTTAAAATATTTTCATTCGCTACTTGAGTCAATATGTCAACAAAAAAAACAATCAATATTAATCAAAACTAACTAAAACTCTAATAAAAACTAAGAAAAACTAACCAAAATGGAAATCTTAGTTGTCAGCATTAAAATTTTCACCAATCAAAAATTCAAGAGAGTTCACAAGCTTGACGATAGCATCCGAACGTGTGACTTGACTTGATTTTGGTGTTGATTAGTTTTGGCTAATTTGGGTTATTGTTGGTAATATGTCTACGAAAAATCCAATAAAAACTAACCAAAACTAACCAAAAGTCTAACTATACCTAACAAAAATCTTAATTGTCAGCAGTAGAAATTTTACCAATCATAAATTGAAGTCAATGTACAATTCTAGGGCAAAGTCAATTGTATCAACGCCCATAAAATTAAAATAAGTATTGTAATAATAGTTTCTAATACCAATTTTTATGAATTCAAAATACTTTCCCTACATTTTAAATATATACGTGCACATGTGGTTTATATGGAAATTAAATTTTCGGTAAAATCCCCAATCCAACATTGGAGTGCGAGGTTCCCATTGGCCTAGCCGATATAAATTCTCAATGGGTTTAAATGTCCGCATAAAAAGGTTTTTTCTAAAACACGGACCATGAGAATGGACCAAAAATAATAGCTTGATGGTCTAATACCTTCGCAATACTTTCATTATTGACGTCGGCAAATTTGAAAGAAATTACTACAGTTAGTTTTTGTTTATGTAGTCTATAATAATATTATTAAAATTTAGGTGTATTTAGTATTTCATTTTCAAAAGGCAATAACGAAATAATTCCGACTTATTTTTCTTAGAATATTTTTCTACAGTTTGCGTGATGGTCATGCATGGCAATGCCATGCAGGTGTGCTTTCCATTAGGGAATTTGGGCGTTCTGGTTTTGCTTTTATTCCAACGATTGCAAATGGCGGTGGTTGCTGATTAGATTCTCAACGATTTGGTGGTTGAATTTCAATTTATTCTTAATTATTCCAATTCGCGATTGAAAACCAAAACTTCAAGACTTTTACGACGTCCTTTTCTTTAAAAACTTCATCTCAGTTTGAATCTAAAAATATTAATTAACGAAAGACTTACCGTGATCGAATAGAAATGTGGATTTGGCTAATGCGTGGGCTGCAGGGGGCAGACCAGGAACCGAAAAAGTATACGCCCCGTTGCTGGCAAAACTTCCACCGAATAAAGGGCCTACTGAAACAAAAAGGCAAAATTCAATATTGAAGATTATACCTGCGCCTGAGACTACTACCGGCTGTTCATTTCGAAACTTACTCTTACTCTAATTACAAATCCTAAAGCGCCCTGGCTTATTAATATTAAATCAAATTTAAAAAAATAGGGGATATAACTCATTGGAGCAATTATAAACCTTATGTAAATTTCTTTTATCGACACTAAGAAAGGAAAACAGATTTATATTAATTGAGGTTCTTCAAAAAATAAAAAGCTTTGTTTATTCAAGGATTTCAATATTTTTCATACACATATGCAGTTTTCAGGTGAGTTCTTTAGGGTTCTTTAAATATGGGATTCAAATAAACCGTAAAGAGAGATTAAATACTATTAATAATATAATTCCTTCAAATGCCAGAATGACAAATTTAAACTATATTTTATATTCACTAAGGATTGACCAAAAATTGCAACTTTGGCCACACAGATACCGTTCAATTTATATGCAATAAATTTATTTTATGAACCACATAACAAAATTAATGGGAACAATACTAATAATAAAACACAAATGATAATTAATCTGGACAATAATTATTAGATAACTAAAAACTAGATCCAACAAATAAACAATGGAAAATTTTTAGAAAATTAAACTATTCAACCGCTTTGCAAAAAAGTCATACAGAATATATTTTCAATGAATGGCACGAATTTATTCGATAAAACTAAAATTCTTGCATGTAATCATGTAATCACCCATATGGGAATCCGAGACGGTGTTTATGCCTCTCATTTAGCTCGGCCCCCCTCCAGCAATATATAAGTAGGTACAGAATAAAATGCGAGTCAGTTTCAGTCAAGCTCTGAAGAAGCCAACAGGATGATTGGCGATAAATCAGCAAGTTTGACTCAGCAAAAATCGACGCAGGAGGAATCCAGAAGTTTTGTAATAGTTAACATTCTAGCTAAAGCTAAAAAAGCATCTATCTATTAAAAAGAAAATGAAGTGCGTTAATGTTGTTGTATTTTTTTTCAATTTGAGTAATATATTTAATGTAACACGTCGTAAACTTTTGAGGAATATTCAAGATGGAAATTACATTGTGCTTGCACCATAAAGGGAGAACGCAGGATATATTAGAGAACTGATGAAATTCGAGTATCAAATTAAAAATCTATGAGCAGCGTTATATGAAAATCATATTTCGATGTTGTGGTATTCTCGGCTTAAAATTTTATCTTAAATTCCTGTAACAAACCCAAATTTCAAAAGAATTTCAGAAATTTATGATTAAATTGTGTTACTAGGTAGCTGATTTTTATTAATTAATATTTTCCTTTACTTTTTGAACCGCCATAAAAGCTTGGCTCCTACGCATAGGATCTCTGGATACATGGACACATATTCTAGACTGATCAAATTCGAAAGGTTCTGTGAAATTTAACACAATTCTAAAAAAAATAATAAAACCAATATTCCTAACTAAAGTTTGGTAAGTATAACTAGATCCGTCAAGTCTGTATCAAGATTATAGACAAAGTATCCTTCGTATTTCAATACGATGAAGGTAAACGTATATTAGAAGCAGATAGACTGATTATAAAGGGATAATATAATGAGCAATAAAACACGGATGAGTGATCACGAAAAGGCTTTGATACGTCTGTTAAGTTATGCGGTCTAATATGGCATGTAGGTTTGCCCGAACCACTTGGAGCTATTAAAATTAATCGTTAATCGCGAAAGCTGCGGTTAGACTCGTTGGTAGCTAGCAGCAAAAAGGATCTCCATAACACACGTTTCGTTGTGTATACAGCATATCTCAATCCATTGCAAGAAACCTGCCATTTTAATAAACGTAATAACGAGAATAAAACAAGCGGCTCGCCTTGTTTGGTATCGTTGCCTCGTAAAGTAGTTCCTAATAAGTCCAAGCAGCCTTTACATGTAATTTGTTGGGTTGTGACAAATTTAACTGTGTACTAGTTGTCTTTAAACCAGTTTGGTGTGCAAAATGGAAACACCATCCTAAGATGCGCGCCATTTAATTTTTTTGCTTTATACGGGTGGTAAGTATTTTTTGGCGATTTTGCGATTGCTTCGATTGTGAATATGAGCAGTTTTAAAATAGAATCTCAAAATCCAAAGTGTTTGATAAAATGTTATTAAGTTCTTTACATAAATTCTAAATTACTAGAAAATTGTAAAGAACTTTTTACTGGGACATAGAGTCCTCTATCACCCATTACAATTTGAACCATCGTCAGTATCGTTAGTGAATTGTCTTCAACTTCATTTGCAACCAAATCGAAATTTAAAAAAAATAACGGTCCAAAAATTAATGGAATTGCACAACTCCTTCGGAGAAAAAAAATGGCCACTTCCTTTTACCAACGTCTACACGAGCTTCCCTCTATCTAGCTAGGTATCTAGCTCATTGGAAAGGTGTATGATTTTTCTAAATCGACTCAATCGTTTCTTTTTTTCTGTAAGTTAGCCATTAACAACAATGCCAAATGTAAAATGAACACATATCATCGTCAGATGGAATTTGTATTTTTTAAAGTTGTTGAGAGGTAAGTTTCAAAAGCTAACTAACCAAAATTTATAGGGCGTTATAAAGTCGACCTAGAAAGCGGAATAGCAAAGTTATTGCAAGGAACGGATCATTTTTGTGAGTCCTAAGTTCTTAATTTTAATGTTCTAAATGAATTTGTCAACAATGAACGATTGATATATGTCAATAATATAATTATAATGAAATAAGAAAATAAATGAATATATATATATATATATATATATATATATATATATATATATATATATATATATATATATATATATATATATATATATATATATATATATATATATATATATATATGCAACGAGCGAGCGGATGATATCCCGGAATAGTGTCATCACATTTTTCCATCCGTGAATCAATACGTGAGAATATATATATATATATATATATATATATATATATTTTAGTTAATTGGGGTATCGGTCCTGATCAGGACCGATACCCCAATTAACTAAAATTTGTTGTTCAACTAGCCGGTCACGACTACCGTTTTGTGTATATATATATATATATATATATATATATATATATATATATATATATATATATATATATATATATATATATATATATATATATATATATATATATATATATATATATATATATATATATATATATATATATATATATATATATATATATATATATATGATGACACTATATTCCGGGATATCATCCGTTCGCTCGTTGAACTCCGACTGGAATCCTGCATCCGACTGGAATCCTGCAAATCTTGCATCCGACTGGAATCCTGCAGACGTTTCGCCAAAATCTCACTTGGCATCTTCAATGCTCGCGCTCCGAAAACACTTCGAACACTGTCTTAGTTTTTCATAACACTTGGTGGCTGTAAAGATCTCCTTCCCGTAAAGGTGTATGATATTCTCACGTATTGATTCACGGATGGAAAAATGTGATGACACTATATTCCGGGATATCATCCGTTCGCTCGTTGAACTCCGACTGGAATCCTGCATCCGACTGGAATCCTGCAAATCTTGCATCCGACTGGAATCCTGCAGACGTTTCGCCAAAATCTCACTTGGCATCTTCAATGCTCGCGCTCCGAAAACACTGTTCGAAGTGTTTTCGGAGCGCGAGCATTGAAGATGCCAAGTGAGATTTTGGCGAAACGTCTGCAGGATTCCAGTCGGATGCAAGATTTGCAGGATTCCAGTCGGATGCAGGATTCCAGTCGGAGTTCAACGAGCGAACGGATGATATCCCGGAATATAGTGTCATCACATTTTTCCATCCGTGAATCAATACGTGAGAATATATATATATATATATATATATATATATATATATATATATATATATATATATATATATATATATATATATATATATATATATATATATATATATGATGACACTATCAATACGTGAGAATATATATATATATATATATATATATATATATATATATATATATATATTCTCACGTATTGATTCACGGATGGAAAAATGTGATGACACTATATTCCGGGATATCATCCGTTCGCTCGTTGAACTCCGACTGGAATCCTGCATCCGACTGGAATCCTGCAAATCTTGCATCCGACTGGAATCCTGCAGACGTTTCGCCAAAATCTCACTTGGCATCTTCAATGCTCGCGCTCCGAAAGTGTTCGAAGTGTTTTCGGAGCGCGAGCATTGAAGATGCCAAGTGAGATTTTGGCGAAACGTCTGCAGGATTCCAGTCGGATGCAAGATTTGCAGGATTCCAGTCGGATGCAGGATTCCAGTCGGAGTTCAACGAGCGAACGGATGATATCCCGGAATATAGTGTCATCATATATATATATATATATATATATATATATATATATATATATATATATATATATATATATATATATATATATATATATATATATATATATATATATATATATATATATATATATATACATTTTCTTCTCTTTTTTCCAATAAGATGTTAAGATGTTACAAATAATGCATGGCATGTTGTAAATGCCTCACAAATGGCAAGATAATAGTAGATCAGTTATAATTATCGGTTTAAATTTAATCGAGAGGCATGAGAGTTAGAATTTCTGTTATATACAGGGTTAGTCAATATTCGCGCAACGGCGTTTTATAGTTATTTAAGTTAGTTAAATTAAATCCCAGTTTATTGATTAAATTATTAGTTATCTTCATTTTTGTCATTTCCGCAAAAACGGTTGAATAATTTAGTAGCCTAGGAAAAAAACATAAATCTGGCAACATAGGCGACGTTCACCATCGAAACCAGTCTCGTTAGAAACCCCCGTTTACTAAATTAGGTAAATTTAAGTGGAATAATTCCTGAGATATTTGACTTTTGACTAACCCTGCATATTCATATTATTCATTAATTCTAAACATCGACTTGTATAAATAAATGTTATTATTATTGAACTGAGGTGGCTTTTA